ATTAAAAATCATTTTTCTATTTTATTTAATCAACATTCAAAACGTTTTGATGTTATTTTAATGGATAATTGTGATGATCATGATTTAATTAAATGTTATTTTCTTCTTCAATATCTTATTTATTCAAAAAATTTTGATCAATTTTTTGTTATGCCATCGAATATAACTTGGATTGATATTAATCGATTACAAACAACAACATTTCATCTATATCAAGATTTTTTATCTAAAGCACAACAAATGGGTTGGGATATTAATCAAGCAAAATTTTTGATTAATAATTATAGATATGGTTCGAAATAAAGCGAAATTTTTATTGTTATTAATAGTTAAAATAAATAATTTTATTCGTATAATCTCTTTACAAAAAAAAAAACCTAGATTTTATTATCAATCGATTGGATTTTTCTAATAGATGATAAACAATTAACGTATTTGTTCAATGAAAAATATGAACAGTTGATTGTTTAAGGGTCTCGCTCTTTCTAGTTTTTCTGAAGAGTGGCTCATCAGAAAAACTTAAAATTTTCAGAACAGGTAGATCTTGACTAGCAAAGCAAAAGTTATCCTTCTGGATGCTGTCTGCTATGTTCGACCGAGCTGAAATTGGTTTTTTTACAGACACTAGACACCGCTTTTTGTTTTTTTGTCTTTCAAATAATAAAGCCAAATCGTGGAAGGTACCCTAAAAACGCATGTTAACGCGAAACATTGTACACTTTTCGCTTATTCGATTTTTTAACGTTCAAAAACAATTTTTAAATACTCAGTAGATAGATACTACTTTATACTATACAATAGCTACAAAAAACAAAAATTTTGGATCATGAAAGGGAAGTAGGTACCCTTGAACGAAAGATACTTTTCTTATGTAGAATGATTTATCATAATATTCTTATCAGTTTGTTTGACGATAATAGAGCATAAAATACTACAATTTTTGTCCTGTTTGTTAACTATGATTTATTACATGACTAATAGCTCTTTTAGCATCTATTCTAATTTCTTATAACAGGTGTTGTAGACTAAATGAATCTCTCAATATCGTCACTATTTGTTATTGTTTTGTTGGTTGAAAAGATAGAAGCAAAAAATTTGTTTGATAATTACTATGACAATATATTGCTGACAATTTTTAAACACAAAATTAAGTATTTTCGTATTTTTATCTTCTGATGTTGAAATATAGAAAAACTTTCCCTCTCGCTTAAGCTCTGTTTCATAATTACACTTAATAATTTTCTCAATAAACGTCTTTCGTGCACTATTTTTAATTAAATATTATTTTTACAAAAAAATTATAAGTACTCGATCTTACTGAGCAAATAATATCACCACTAAATAATTACCCAATAAGATTATCTGAATGAAGAATAGAGTTGACATAAAGTAAACGTTTTAAACATCTGATTTGAGCATATTAAGAATATAAATGAGAAACTTACATATTGTTATTCGATTTTGATTTAATGACTGTCAAAGGTTTCTTTCGTCATTCTCTTCTACAACCTTTTCAATGTTTGATTTAGTTGTTTTTTTTCAAAGTCAACCAATAAGTGTCTTCTAGTTTCGAATCGATCCTCAAATTTTGTCGATTAATATTCTCTGGTTAATACTTTATACAATATCACATTGAAAGAACTCGAAATTATTGTTCAACTGAAATTGATTATTCATAAAAAAGATTTTATTTTGCCAATCATATTTAAAATAGGTCTTAGATCTTATTCATAAACTCACAAGCTACTATCTTAGAGAATATATTATGTTTATTTGATAATAAAATATAAGCCAAAGAAAAATGAAAAATAATGTCTTTTAAAAAAATTAAAATGAGTTCATCTTATTATACATTGTGAATCAACATTATTACAATGACGAGTTGGTTTCTCATGTCGGTTATTATTGTTATTATTATCATCATCGACATATTTTGAATATTTCTTTGGATTGTTATGATTTATATTGTTTTCTTCGTCATTTTTAATACTATTTTTATTGACATCTAATAAATAAACGAAAGATACTGTTGTAAAAAAGAATACGATAATTTTCTTTTTTACCAGCCGAAGATGTTACTATTTGATTATCCACCAAGATGGATATTGGAATGTTTGTTGTCGAATCCTCTAAAATGATACAAATAAAAAACAAAAGATTTTATGTAATAATCATCAAATCTAGACCTGCGATAGCTTCTGTTTAAAGAACTGAACTAGGAATCAATTCTTTTAAAAAGAACTGGTTACCAGTTCTCGTTCTTTTTAAAAGAACTAGGTATAGTAAACAGGTATTTTCAAAAGAATTGGATATAGATCATCATTATTGATAAAACAAGTACATTTGAGAACAACCGATTATTGGACCCAGTTCTCGAAAAAACGAACTGGTCACTGGACTCAATTCTTAAAACTACGTAGAACTGGTGAATGGGCCCAATTCTTTAAAAAAAGAACTGGTTATTCGACCTAGTTCTCGAAAAAAGAACTGATCACTGGACCTAGTTCTCAAAAAAAAAAAAAAAGAATCAGTTCTTAGAACTGTGAGCTGTCACAGGTTTAATCAAATCAAACATTACTATTTTGTATTATATTATCAATTGGCTTTGATATAGACATAGTTTGATCTATATTTTCTATAAAATTTAAAATTTAATTAGAAAAAAAAAGAGAAGGATCAATTAACATACCACAAATATTATGATCTAATGTGATAGTTGTTTCTGTTGCACTTTGATTTTGAGTTTTAATCGATACTAATGATATTAAAGTTGTTGTTGTTGAATTTTCTATTTGTGAAAAATAAAAATATTTTAATATGTTTGTACTGTTCATTGTATTTCATAGACACAATATATATAATTACATACCTATTAAATTACACCGATTGAGTTGAATTTGTTTTCCATGGTAAGAATCGAACTCAATTTTCGTTAAGAAATTTGATAATTTCATAAAAGTTGTTTTTAATTTTAATTGTAAATTTTCTTTACATTGAATATTATCAATACATGATTGAGGATATTTTAGATGAATGTAAATCAAAAGTATATAAGTTTGATTTTGAACATCTAATAATGAATTCGAAATAGTCGAAGTAAAAAATGTTAATGTATTTGGTTGGAAAGTTAATTGTTCATTAATCTATTGAATATTTAACAATAAAATATTACGTTATTGATTTTATTATACATTACTTGATGTGAAAAAATGCCAAGATGATTAATGATCATTGTTGACAATTTTAATTTATCTTTTGAGTTCAACGCAGTGTTGGATACACTTCCTATTAAAATTATTATTTAAAATCAAAATTAAATATTTCTTACTTGAATTATTAGTTACATAAGAAGGATTGAAAGACATCGTTATAATAAAAATAACGATGAAAAAACATCCCGTAATCAAACCCAAACAAATATAATACGATAATCGAGATCGTCTAATAGAAAAAAAATTTTTGTAAGGAAATTAATTGGTTTTGAATCACTTACTGATTAGTAAATTTCGAGGAATCGTCCTCAAAAATTGTATCTTCCTCATCTTCGTAAATTGTCTCTAACACATGCATTCGATTATACATGTTCTACGCAAACAAACACAGAAAATGAATGTATGTTAAGTGAGTGTGCAGTCAAGTGAAGCATTACCGGTACGATTCGTGTCATTTTTTTTTGTCGCTGCATCTCTTTTTTTTTCTTATCGATATAACGAAAAAAAACATGTCTCATATGATTAGTTTTTATATATTGTTTTTTTTTTCTTTCTTCTGCAACCCCAAATATTCTCATTAACGATATTAATATGCGATCGATATTTATCCGATGACCAAAAAACAATGAGAATATGACTGAATCATCGAACTGTGTACTTTGTAATACACAATCTATTTTGTAAATTATATATGACCTGTTTTTCAAGGTGTTTGGTACTGATTCATGTAGGCATTGTTTTTCTTTTCTTTGTCATACTGTTTTGTACATCAATCGATGAGTGTATACATATATCTGTGTGTACAATACAATACAGTCATGGTAGAGAAAATGTACAATAAGCAATATTTATAAAACATCTGAATCATTTGTTTTTTGGTAAAATGTTAATAGTGTACAAATTGTAAAGTAGATTTTTTCACTGTTACCGAACGTTCAATACATATGTTGGGGAACAAAATTAGGATTCGACTAGAAATAAATTTATGCAATCACGCTTTTTACTAAAAGTAAAAAGGAGTGAAGGAGAGAAGAAAAATTTTGTCATAGCAATCGCGCCGATAAGTATACATGTTAGACTGTAATTTAAAAAAATGTCTGAATCAAATTTAACGGTCGATCGCATGTTGAGATTATAAAGACACGAACGTTACAAAACTGGTTTCATGGAAAAAAAAAGGAAGTTTGTTGTTCGATAAAATGTTATTCGAAGCTAGGTGATATTACGAATATAGATGAATAGACTAAAGTATATGGACTAGTAAAATGTTTATGAAAATAACAAAAGATATTGTTGAATAAAATTAGTCATTCTATTTAGATTTCATTTATTTTAGTTGTATGAATGTACCTCTAGTTGAGATTAGGATCTCAAATTGTTTGCTCCGGCTAATTTGGAACTTGATCCAATTCGAATTTGCCTTTAACATATGTGTCATAAACGAAAGTATGCCAAGTACTATTTTTAATGATTTTGATTAATGATAATACGATTTCACATATATTAACGTGCGTTCGTTAAAGTGTAATATATAAATTAGAAAAAAATGTGACGGTAAACATGTTTATGAAAAGCAAGTTTGACGTGCGCAATTTACTTGTACATAGTATCATATTATTATGATAATTCAAAGGAAACAGAAGATTGTCTTTTATACAACGGCAAGGAAATCATGTATATCAAAACAATATGATTATATAAAATTGCTATTGATTTAATAGACAGATATAAAAATATCAATATTTAGAACAAAGTTTTTTTTTGTGTAAGAACATGTTTTTGATAACTTGAATGTACTTGCCAAAGAGAATATATCAAGTCCTGGAATGTCCTAACAAGATAAATATCGATTAGGAAATAATAAAGTTTTATCAACAAATCATATACGATGATAATAATCAGCAATTAGAATGTGCAAACAATAACTTAGAGAAACAAATGAATGGAAAAACATCGAATATGAAAAATAGAATGAAAAAGATATTAGTTGTAAGAAGTCATTTAAATACGGCAGTTGACTCGATACTTTATATTAACGTTACAAAAATGATGATATTGATGCTAATGAACTTTTTGATAGGTCATCTTATGTTGTTGTTAAAAATATTGCATAAAACAAAAGAATGATTAATCACCACTCTGTTGAGTCACATTTTAGCTGGGTGCATGTTATGAATTTTCGTATTTTTTTTCTTTACCCAATAAGCTTTTTATTAATGTGGCCCAAAAAAACAACTTTGCCCCTTGGAAAATATAATTTCTGAGCTTATAATATTCATTTTTTGAATCAATTTCTTTTATCATAGATGGAATTGAAAAAAAAAGCTGCTAAATAAAAGTGTCTATTATCTTTTGAAAACATTCTATTGTTAGTTAGAAGAAAAACAAGAAATTCGAAAAAATATGAAAATCTATTTCGAAATGGAATTATTTGCACTATTTTTCAATCTTTTGTAAAAATTCACTAACGAAATAGTATGATACCTGAAAATTCTCTGGTTATATTTCTATACATTAGTAGGTTAAGTAGATATAAATTATTGAGAATTATTGACAGTTTGTTAAGATTATAAAAATATCTGTACAATAGTAGCCTTGCATATTTTTTCATAAAGTGATGTATTGTACTAATTCGATTCTTTTGTCACTTGAATTAGTTTTCATTACGATCAATTATATGTTATACAATGATTATAGCAATATATATAAAATTTTGATAAATTTTATTTGCATAATCTGAAACAAGGTACGGTATAATAGAAGAGCACGGAACAACAATTAGCATTAAACTAAAATAATCGTATGAAAAAGTATTTGAAAAAAGAATCCATTTTAAATCGAAATGTTTTCCATAGTGCGTATATTACTTACTCTATAGCTACACCAACTTTGAAGTCATCGGTAACTTTTAGGGAGAAATTAGCTTCTCCATTACTCTTCCCAGAACAAGAAAAGAGCTAGTGTTCTAGTTTTGCCGTTAACTACTCTACTAATGATTCGTATTCTGGATAATACAACGCCCGTAGTAACGGCACCACCTACCATTGTTCATCCAAAACCAGAGAAGCACTAGCGTTCTGACTCCGCTGCTAGAAGAGATCTTTTGTTTGCTTTCCGGTGAAGATATACCGTTCTAACACATAAATTCATATTTAATGAATTTATTATTTGTATCTAGTTATGTTGAAATGTTTTCAAAATAAAAATATTTCTATTCACTTAGTAAGTTATTCCTAGTTATATCAATTGCAGAAAGAATATTACAAAACGAAGAAAGGTTTTTTTGGACCACTCTGCATATTTTTTTTTTTTCGAAATTTTTCCTTTCTTGCTTTTTCAACCATACCAGAGCAATGAATAAACAAATTAAATAAATAAATGAACAATAAATAATACAGCGACAATGTATAATTCAATCAAAGTGTATCTAGATAAAACAATAAAAAATACCCATTTTTCATCTTCCAACGGCAACGATGCTCCACTATGATCTCTTTTTTCTTAATTAAATCAAAAGTAATTAGTAATAATTAATCATATTTTTTTTTATATTAAACTTTTATAAAATATATAAATTTAATATTTAGCGCTAATAAAGTTTACATCATAATGACTAACAGAAACAATAGAATCCTTGTGATAACATATATTTTCAATAGTATTCAATGTAAAGGCTTTGCTGTCTGCTGTTGTTAAACATAATGTATAACATGTAGTATAGTTCATTGGGAAGAACGATGAAAGATCATTACCAGGAAAGTGTGTACTATTGAAGAATGTCATATTACCACAAAAATATGGATCTAGATGATATAAGAAAGTATTTTATCATGTGCGAGAATGAAAACTAGACATATACCAACTTCTGATGACTTCGCTGTTCGTGCTGTCTCTAAATAGAAAAAAAAATTGTAAATAGATTAAAATTGCATAAATATAATAGAGTAGATTTTAAGTATACAATGAGACACGCTGGAGTTTGATAGAGGAAATATATACACATGAGAGTCATATCTTACTTGTTGTAGTTGTTTTGATTCCAGTAAGAACAAAGGTTAATGGTAAGACAGTAGCAAGAATGAGTAAGAGAATGCCAACAACGCCTAGAAGTTGAAGTAGTAGTTTTTTACTAGGATTTGGAGCATTCGATGCATCAGAAGTTTTGTTTTCTCTATGAAAAACTATTATTTAAAAATTAAAAGTTATTAAATTTAATCGTACAATGTAGGCGTTTTATCCCAAGACGCATGATTATTAAGATTTTCGACATCCCAAGATGGTTGAAATGAATTCATATTGTATGATGATGTTATCTTACTAATTGAATTGTTATAATCTTTATGCTATTTCTATGTGCAAGAGTAATATTCAACGAAAGTTGATATTTACCAAATAAAAAATGTTATTATGAACAAAAATATTCTGATTTTATCTCAACAGAAAAGAAAGGATGTTTTGATTTTTATAGTTTTATTATTTGATGATCATAAGAAAATTGAAATGCATAGATATCTAGGGCTTCAAAAGAATGGAATAGAAAAAATTTGATTTTAGAAGTAATAAATTAAACTTGAAAATCAAATAAATATGGAAGCCTTTTGTTTTCGTTTGAAATGAAAAAATAATTATTTTCTTTCTCTTCATCATATTATCAATACAATGAGTAATAACTTTGACTTTTTTCAATTTCGCAATATTGAACAATGTATGCGCAGATTCTTGAATGATAATTTAGCAAGAAACCCAATAAATCGTTTTCT